ATCACTACCTTAGAGATAGAGTCTTCAAATAAGGATTCTTGAGGTCTTGCGAACAGAACCTTCAGATTTCCTTCTTCAACAACCACCTTGCCTTTCGACTTGGGGTCCTGGTGCCCTGATGGTGGAGCCAATTCGCCTTGTCTTTGCTCCCCCAGGGATTGAGACTCCCTGAGGGCAACACCTTTGGTGGTTGTTGATGGGTTCAAGAACTTGATGGAAAAATCATCTTCATCATCATCGTCGTCGTCACCACCTAAATCATCTCCGATGTCTGGAATGACAGGTTCATCATCGTCTTCATCATCATCTTCATCATCCATATCATCAGCATCATCATCATCACTAGCAGCAGTGATGGTCTGGACCTCATCCCTAGGGATGGCATCTACAACTTCGGCTTGAGCAGCTTCGGTGGTAGGGATTACAGGAGCAGCGCAAACAACTTCAGCTCTAGGAGCCTCAGTATCAGCTGCAACTGAAGCTGATACAGGACCAACAGCCTGAGAAGGCGTACGAACTGCATCTGATGATTCACCAGCGTTGGACCTCATCTCCCCCTCTCTGACCAAGACATGAGAGACTTTGCCAGAGAGTTCGTCCAAGCGCTGACACTGGAGAACCATTGAAGCCTCCAGCCTTTGCAAAGCATCGGCTAGAATTGTCGTTGCCTCACGCGTTTGAGAGAGAAGAGCGCGATCATCGGTAGAGAAGGAGGGATCCATCACTGGAGCTGGTTGACGGACAGCATCCAGGATTTGATGAAGAAGACCAGTCTGCTGTTCAGCTATAACTTGAGCATCGTCAGCCCGTCTGTGAAGAACAGCGAGGGCGTCGTTGTTGATTTGAACAGCTTCCTGGAGAGCCTGAACCTGACTCTGAACTTCAATGACATCTGTCTGGAGGGCTAGGAAGTTGGCGTCAAGATCACCTTGGCGAGACATCTCTTGGTGGACTTCGTTGACCTTGGAGAGGACGGTGTCGACGGCAGGAAGGAGAAGCTTGATATCGGATGACATGTCATAGTTATCATCAATGTCTTCATCCCTAGC